ATATATATATATAAGAGAGACATGTTCACTACAAAGGGTCTACTAAATTTTGTTGTAAGCAATTAAGAATCATAAATGCAACTTTCTCTTGATTATTGATGTATTTGGTCATTCCAAACACCATAAAATGCTAAACTACAATAGCATACAGAATTAAAAATACACAGAACATACAACCATGCCATTTATAATATGCCACCATGATGAGTGGACTATGTAGACCTTTGTCTATTCAATTCCAAGAACCTATTTCATATAGGCAAAGTGTACCCTTACCCCATACGATCATGTTCTTCCTTTTGTCTTGATAGACAACGTTACTGCTGATACTACAAATATAATGACGTTATGAGGGTGATATTGCCTGGTTGATCTTAGGGAGAAGGAAAACAAACATACACACACACAGACACCTTGTCAACGGCATCATCTCCATTCCCCATAACGGCCAACTCTAGTTGAGACTTAGTAACAAAGGGAACTATCACCAACGCTGAGATTGAAATATACCATTTAAGGACAGCTCAGCACATCCCCGGTCCTATGGCTGGGCACTTCACTACCCTAACAGCTCTCCATTTCACACTAGGACATCCACGCTCACATCATAAAAGAGATGATACTCATATTTATTCATTCTTTTACAACTATTAACCATGTATTATGAATGATTCCAAGGCAAGGCAATTGTGCAGCCACCTTTCCTCAAAGTCATCAACTAGGGTTAGGTGAGAAGAGATGGCCTAATGTTGTCCTCGTAATTGCCTTCCTAGGTGACCCAAGTGACCATCTTTGATAACTATGCTGATCAATAGTCCTCAATCCCCTAGAGATTCCATAATTTCTCTTTCCATACCCACCATGGGCAGCACTCCAGATATGTGGACTCTCAGTAATGACTCTACTCAGCAAACCTACAGGCTCTTCATCCTTCCATGTACTAATCAGTCACCATCTTATATTCCGGATTCATTCACAAATCGGTAAGAGACAAATTAAAAAGGAAAATTATATAAGTTGACATATAGTTGCTAGGTTAACAAAAGAGCTAGGTACATGGAAGATATTTTGGACCACTGAAAAGGAAGTTCAAACTATTTAGACCACCATGTTTACCAATATAAAAACATGAAAATCAAGAAGATTTGCCAATATGAAAAAGAAATAGCAGACTTAAGGAAAGGAAGTATTGGACAAAAGCGTAGTTTTACCCACAAATATAGCTAGATGCACCAGAATAAGTAGTTCAATAAGATGACAAATGAGTAGAGATGAAAATTCCCATGAAGGAAGTGATTCAAAAGAATTGTCATATTCACCTGACAAATGAGTAGAGATGTAAATTCCCATGAAGGAAGTGATTCAAAAGAATTGTCATATTCACCTAACAAATGAGTAGAGACGAAAATTCCCATGAAGGAAGTGATTCAAAAGAATTGTCAACCCCAAAGGTCCTCAAGTGTACTAGTCTCTTTCTGAGTTTCTGTGGGTGTAGGAGATAGACTAGAGATAGCAATGGCAGCACAAGTTAAAAGGTAGGTCCAAATCAACTGCAGTATGTTCATTTAATTCAGCCCATCAATCAATAAAACATGTCCATTTCCATCAATTATTTAGGAAACATCATAATTTATTCTAATGGTGGCAAATAGGAACCATGAGCTAGCAGTTAAGTCATAAAATATTGCACCTTGATCCAAAGAGAGAACACAAGTTGGTGGTGTTGTCCATTGATTGCCATGTCTAAAGACAATCTCAGAAGTAGGAAAAAGGGGGTTTGCAGACATAGGCAAATGAATGTCTGCCCAACTATTCAAACTGGCCAAAGAACTGGTACACCGAATGGAAGAATAAATGGTCTCAAGCTATGAACAATTAGGAAACTACTAAAGTTTCTCAAAATAATTTCTACATAAATAAGAATGATGATACAGTCCAAAAGAAACATCTCTTTCCTTTTCCCAAATCTGGTAGTACAAAGACCAGGCACTTGAACCAAATATGAGCCACAGCAGCATCACAGATTTTGATACACATGTTCCATGTGTGACAAAAAAAAATTTAATTTGGAAACTGGAGGATGGGTTGAATTTCACGATACAAATGCAAACAAGGTCACCTGTTTGGGGATGGTAGGTTTTTCTAATTAACTCTGATACATGAAAGGTTTCAGAGCACAATTAAGGATTGGAGAATATCCAAATGATGCGTCAGGTTCTTTGGAGAATCAAGTCCATGTGTTAGTCGTGGATAAGGCACCAAAAAAATAACTATTTGTTGACAAATGCCCTCAAGACGAGAACATATAGTGTGTGTACTAGGCAAATCGAGCAAGGCATCATATGATAATTTGAATAAACTAATCATCGAAGTCCAAATACTATTGGTTGGAATGTGATTGTAAAACCTCGGGAGAGCCCTAAAGAACATGTGCTTGAAAGCTATCTCAAAAGCATGATCCTAAAGAAGTTGTCCCTCCTAAATATTTAAGAAAAAGGGCCCCTCATCTAAAACAGGTACGCCAATCTATAACTTAAAACCTGTCTAAATGGTCATGCCCCATAATCCTATATTATACAAACATGACATCCATTGCTATCTAACATCAACGTTTGAAGAACTAGAAACGCATCCTCTGACACCACAAGACAAAGGATTATCCAATACTAGAATCAATTGGAAGCTGAAATACGAATTAAATCTTATCTTACTCTGCATACAACTATTTGTTATCCTAGAGAAGGCAAAAGTTTCCAAATCCAAGGGATAAAACATCCAGCAAGTCCTACCAAAATAAGAATCCCATTTATCCACCATCAGTTTTAGGGTGAATCCCCAATAAGCTCACATTTAACCATGCTATCAACTAATCAAGAGTTTCCTCCAACTACCAAGCGGGAACTCTGGCCATACCCTTATACTCATTGATGTCATCTACAGTCAACAAATAAAACTTCCAAACTGTTGTTTTCTGAATACTGAAAGTTTACCAACTTGCAAACTGCAATCGAAAACCAATGTTTCAAAAAGCAAACCGCCCAACGCCTGAGCGGCCGCCGGGGCGGTTTTGGGGACCTGGGCGCATCACCTAGGCCTAGGTGCCCAAAAAAAGTGGATACCCCCTAAGCGCCCGCCTAGGGGCAAAAATGCCCCTTGTTGAGGGTATTTTTGGGTCCTTTTTTTAATACTAAAGGTGCAAAATTGTGGGTTTTATTTAAGTTCATTTGAAACCTAAACCCATTAGAGCCCCATTAGAGTATATTTTAGAAAGAGAAAAACCCCAAAAATAAAACAATTTCTACTGGGCTACCCAGATTCGGGCGCCTAGACCTTTGAACCGAAAACCCAAACAGATCCTAAGAAAACCCATAAAAGAAAAAGCAAAAACAAATTTTAATCCCTCATTCTAAAATAAGATTAAGAATGTATGATCCACGAGTAATTTTGCCACCATGAATCATTCAGAACAAAAGTGAAAAACACAATAAAAAGGAAAGCTACTTCTTCTCACTAGTATTGAAGCAGGAAGCAGGAAAGACACAAAATTTACCTAAAGCAACAAATAAAGAAGTAAAGTAAAAGGAAAATACGTGTTTACAAGGGATCCCTAGCTTCTTTAGCTTTAAAGTCCTGGTGACCAAAAGCTTTTGAAAGTCTCCAATCTCCTTCTCAAGCTTCTCGACATGAGTTTCAACGCCTTTGCCCACGCCAAATAGAAACTCTGGAATCCCAACTTTCACTGCAACATTTGTCCTAGATTTTCAATATTTAAAATTTGAAAACACCAAACCCATAAAAAAAGAGAGGAAACCCTATAATGCTAACTACCAGGCAAAGGCCACATTCTCAGAGTAATAAACACAAGGAAATCAAAACCCAAATTCCCCAGCAACATTTGCACTAAAATTTGAACTACCCACCAGTTAATATCCCTAAAACCCTTTAAAAAGAAATGAAAAAAAAAGAATATCAATCTACCATGCAAAACAAAAGTTACCCCTTCAGAAGAGGATGTTTGGGGGCTTACCTACGTATTGGGGCGATTTGGAGAAGAACCGAGGAAAACCACCACCATGAAAGAGAGAAGGAAGGAGAGAGCGAGTGTTCGAGAGTAATGGATTTCGAAGAGAAGCCAGTGCCATGTATGCTGAAATAGCAGGAAAAACACAAACACTGCAAGGATTTAACAGTACACCTTAAAATTCATAAAGGAGGGTGATTTTCAGTGGTTCAAAGTGAAACTAACATATTACATGCTGGGATTGTATACCATGAGACCGTTTATCTTTGTTGCAAGGAGATTGCAATTGCTACTAGCTATTTGATGCCAAATTGGATGACTTCGGGTGTGTCACAAAGTTCAAGAAATTGTTTTTTACTTTTTGGACTTTGACTCTAGTCAATGATACATTTACAACCACCCGATTTGGAATCTGACAGACAAGAGGGATTGTGCCCTGCTTGTATTAAAAGTAAATGGTCTCTTTGTATACATTTCCATGCCCCTGAACTTCCCAATTTAAGAGAAGTTCAGCTAAGGAAAGATTGGCTTTTATCATTGTAGAACGAGTTACATGAGAATTTAGGTTTTTATCCAACAAGCTGAAGCGAAAAATAAGCATCACACCTCCAGCAAGGGAGGGAGGAAAACTGAAGAAAAGAAATTGAGAAACAAGCGAAAAGTGAAAGTAGAGCAAAGGAGAAAACTTGCACAAAGAAGAACTTTAAAAAAAAGAGAGTGAAAGTATCATTTAAACAAAGGTCAAATGATTCCCTTTAACAAGGGTGGCTTTACCCCCTAAGAAAAATTTAAAAAATGAGAAAGGCTCTTGAACAGGCTAGCCCACAGGCTTTCAGGGTACGGGCACATTTTAAGGCCCATGGCAGGGCTTGGGCGCTATTTAAAAAGAATTCCCTAGATTTATAGAAAGCCAGCCCGAATTTTTTCAGGCTTAGGCCTCATTATCATGTCGAACCCTACCCTACCTTCCATAGTTTTGGGCCGGACCTCAGGCCTAGCTGGCCTTGCCCAACCTCGCCTGTTAACAGCCCTATTGTTGATGGTTGGGAACCCAAACAATCAAGGCAGTTCAGTAATTTAGCCCAGTGCCTCAAGCCAAAATGACGATAATATCCCTAGTTATTTCAGTGTTGCAAAAACAGATCAAGCATTGACAAAAAAAAAGAAGAGTTTTATGTTTATAACCTGAATAATGAGCATACTAATTCGCAGTTCTATGTTACTGACCTTAGACAATCACATATATTAACATAATTTGGTTCGAGCCACATTAGTGTGTTATATCAAAATGCCTATAGTTATTTTGGGTCCTAACCAATGTTGCTAAGATCAGGCCTGTGACCAAACTGGTGAGGGCACTGGTCAGTTCGACCGGCCGAACCAGACTGGTTCGCTGGTCAGACCAGTCTTAAATTAAAAAAATAAATAAAACTCTGGAAAAATATAGAGAAGGGGTAAAACAAAGGAAATTATGGAAAAAGAATAAAAAAAATCCAAAGAAAAAGGAAAGGCAAGTAAATGAATAAAATGTCTATATCCAAGATATCTTTCAATAAGTTTTAAATCTCTTTCACAGTAGGTTTTTTACTATTTTGAAAAAATCAGCATAATAAATTTCATAGAGTCAAATACTAAGCTTGGAAAGCAAATATCCTTAATTTTAAATGACCCGTCCAATTATCCCCAAATCAAAATATAACCAACAATATCTTCTTCTTCTTTTTTTGATGAATTTGACAAATATCTCAAAAGAAAAACTGAAAATAATTAAAATGCAATATGCTCATTTTCCTCAACCAAAATGAAGCAGAACAAAAACTGTATAAAAATCGATCAAAACGGTGTTAAAAAAATCATCAATCCAATGTTTTATTTCCCAATATGGATAAAGATCGGTAGGCAGCCAATTCCAGTTGAAGGAACCTTGGTATTCAACTCTGGAATTGCCAAAATCGGGATACCTAGTCGAACAGGGCAAATCGAAATTGGACTCCAGACAATTCATGGCGCATCTCAGACACAAAAAGTTTACAACTTTTAAACTCCGTTTAACAGTAAAAATTAAGACATTATAAAAGAAATGACTTTTACGGATAATAAGCTGAAAGGATCAGAAACCTGGCTTGGAACTCCCAGAGGGAAAAGATAGCACTGTTTGAATCAGCGTCGATCATATGAGGAAAGTATCATCATTTCCATCAACTTCAATAAATGCATTAAATCATAACCCAAAATCCACGGAGAAAAAAGAGAAAAAATGGCCACTAAAACAAGTACCAAAAGAAAAAGGACTATTCCAACGGAAGTAGCAGTGGTTGTAACAAACTTTTCAGCGAGAAAAGAAATGAAAAAATATAGCGGCCATATTTCCAGCTCCAGAGCAGCCCTTAAGAAAAAACGAGGCCAAATCGAGAAAAAAGAAGTGGAATGCAGCTAAATTTGGCATCCACTCTTACACAGCTACCATTGAATCCAGACAACTGGTAATCAGTTTTCGACACATAAAAAAGATAAACGTGGAAACAAACTAGAGAGAAGAAATTTAAATACCTCCAGATCTGGAGCAAGGAAAAATAGTAGACCCGATTTGCAGGGGAACACCTAAATCTGGGGGGAAGAGAATGACCAGCCCTAATTTGCAGGGGAACACCTCTAGAACTCAAGATGAAATCGCAGAACCTTGGGAAACCCTAAGGGGCTGAGACCCCTAATCTAGAGGAAATTCCTAAACATAAAGGAAACCCCTAAAAAGGAAGAGCACTGAACCTCGTTGTCTTCGTGACTGGAGAAACCCTAGAGTTGAAGCCTTAAACCCTAGGCGATACTGGTCCATGACCAACAATATCAACTTCAAAGTTCATTCAATCATCCAAAACAAACCCCCCCAAAAAAAAGAAGGCAAAAAGCAGAAAATTCTTGCTAGGAGAAAATGAAAATGCATTTTAGAAAAGAAACTCCCAAAAAATATATGCAAAAACCCACAAAGAAAGCATTTTTTCACGTAAAAAAATGTGAAAATTCATCCCCATATATAATGGAAATAGCATTGAGATTTAATGATCACTAGTAAAGAGATCCAGGGTCATTGCAAAATTTCATGCAAAAGCCCACAATAAAATCCAAACTGTTCCGTTTTTGCCAACAATAAGCCAAAAAAACAAAACAAGTGGTTGAATATACTTACTTGGGCTTCAAACAGGGATGGATTGATGGCCGGATTTGCCCGTGAAAAAACGCCGGAAGATTTCGAGTTTTAAATCCTCGCTCTCCCCCCTCAACTTTTAAACCCTCTCTCTCGCCGGAAAATCGTGGGCTTCAAAGGAGTCTCTAATTTACATTTTAAACCCTATTCCGCTCTTTAATTAGAATTAAGAAAAGTACACCTTCTTATACCATACGATCCCATAACTTAAAAACGACCAAATGAAACATGATAAAAATGAGTATTTTCCAATGAAAACAAAAAAAAATATATAATATGCAAAATAAATGGAAACACTGAACCGGTAGGTTTGCCACTAGACCGGTGGACCAGCTAGTGGGTCGGCCAGTCCATCGGTCCATTGCCGGTTCAACGGTACTATACAGTGAACCGGACAGGTGACCCGTTTACTCGTTTTTGGTTATGACCGCTTGGTCTCATCCCATCATTGGTCCTGACCTTAAAAATGAGCAATTTGGAAATATTTGAATTTTATTTGAGTAGTTACATTGGTAAATAAATTTATTTAATTAATTATTAAACTTTAAATAATTTTATGATATAATTTACTTGCACAAGTAAAATGCAATTTAGATTCTAGAAGCAATTTCAAGACCCCCGGGTTCTAGAAGCAGTTTTGAAAAAAAAATTCTTTATGAGATTTTATTGATAAAACATGAAGTTATAAAATTTGTATAGGCAGCAAATCAAACACTGAAAGAGGTATGGCTTTGGACTTTCACCGTCTGAAGTAAGGAGAGTTTAGAAAAAAAATTTACAAAAAAAAAGAAGAGAGGTATGAATGCATAATTAAATTTTGGACAATGTTTTCATGCAGTCAGCTCACTTGACAATAAATATATTTTTAAATATAATTTGATCATGGAAATCATGAATATGAAAAACAAAAAAAAATAAATTGAAAATTGAAAATAAAAATTATGTCAATAAGACATTTGGATTACCTATTTGCATCTATCTTTAAGATGAATGCTTTATACCTCTTAACCGCATATTGTAGAAATGCGGTCCAGCCCGCATGAAACAATTTTTTAAAATTTTTTGTGAGAATTTCGTAAATATAATTAATTTAGGACGGTATAGCATGAATTTCTCTACCTCTTTTTTTTACCCCCATGGATTACCTTTATATTGCATCGTGGGTAGAGGTCAGAACAGCCACTATTTAAGTTATTACGACCATCTTAAACATTGAACTGTAGAATTTTAAATAACTAAGGCATGTTTGGACGTGCTCGTGATTACTGATTATTGACCGTTTGACTAAAATTAATTTTGATACGAAGTTCTTGTTTGGAACTGTCCATCATAAAATTATTTGAGGTAATTTTATAGTCAGCTTTATATATAGTTTGAAAAACGATTTGGTCAATAATTTGTTGAAAGGGTGCAGTTTTTTATCATGGTATATAATTTTGATGTAAAATGTTATTAAGATTATCTCAAAATCTATTTTATATCTAATTAAAAAAATTCAAATTTAAAAAATGGCTAAAATCAAATAGATCTATAAACAGATGAAAATCTTGAAAATGGACGGTGTAGATAATATATTGTAAAATGTTATTTCTAATACTTAAAATATTTTTATTTTCTATAGTCATACATCTTGATATCGAGATGATCAATCAAAGGGCTTTTCAACGTTAAAACTACTTTTTCCTATAGATTTTTAAGTACATCCGTAGTTCTACATTATAAGATTCCGTCCTTATATAAACTTTTTTTTCTAAAAATAGTTAAAATTGTTGAAATCACTAGTTTTTATCTACGGGATGGCAGACTGTACGGAAGAAGCACGGAAGTGATGATGCCCAGAAGCTATAAGCTATAGAGGTTGCTTTGGGTGTCATATTATTTGCTTGTGGGCTTCACGAGAGTGAGAAAGTGGTCAGGTTTCTTCTAGAGGCCGAACCTCAAGTTGGTGCACTCATATTGCTGCATTGGTTTCTACTAATGTTATAAGATGGAATGGTTTAGAAAATGAGGCCGGTAATCATAGAGATTAGATCGATGTTATCGGATTTGTTTCGGAGTCTTCTTCGGTTTGATGAGAAAAATGAAACAATTCGGTGTTACGACCGATTCAGGGGAAGATTTAGAAATTTTTTTTTAAAAAAATTAGATATTTATATGTAAAATACATACAAATAATGGAAAAAATTAAAAATAAAAAATTAAAAAAAGAAAAAACTGTTATAAAGCTATTTCTTTATGGCCGAAGCATACCCGAATCTGACCGAAGCGGCCCGAATCTAACTGAAACGGCAGTACCAGGCATTGCTTCTCTTTGACTTATGCCTAAAATCTTAAGGCTTCAGCTTCTTCGGCCAAAAGCAATTTAGTAAAGTAGGTAAGAGCCACACTTTTTGAAGAGGAAGGGCCTATTGATGATGATGAGCATTTTTATATGAACAAGGGGAATGAAAAGAAATGTTTGGGAGAATGGTAAGGCTAATGTATAACAAATGCTTTGTACGGCCAAAAGATTAAAGTATTATACGCTAGAACAGTGATTGCAATTGAATCTCACCAATTAAATCATATGTTTAGTCATGATAACATTTTACCTTAGCAATATCTGGTTAATAACATTCGATTTAGTAGATTATCAATTGAATAACGAATACCGAAAATTAAGCATTGCCAAGGATCTTCGCGTTAGCAATTCCATGGGCAAACCTTGCTGGTTGATGCTAGTGATCATACTCGCCAACCTTTGGACTCATTTATACATGAGAATTGAGCCCTTCAACATAATTATGAATTTGAGGGGTCGATTTGGTCATGTAGCTTGAAAAAATTGATCGTCCTTCATAGCATGAACAAATACGGGTTAAACTTTCTGCACATGTGGAGAGTCAGATACCAGGGCGGATTCTTTTGTGGCAGCGCAAAGAACAGAAATTATGGTCTCCACTACATAACTGTCTAGATTTTGGATTATCTTTTAACTTTTTTGTGACTATGAATCGGCATTAGAAACACCGGCCAGTTAGATCGGGACCGCTAGGATCACGAGTTCGGTTAAGGCGGGTTTTGAGTGTATAAAATCTTAGTTTACGCCCCCTAAAATGTCCGGCCCAAAACCGATTGTGTTTTTATCTAACCGGCTGGTTTTCCACTACCGAGTTAGTTAGCCGATATATAGAGCACTATTTACGAATGATGGTTATGTGACTATAACGGGTGTTATTTTGAAATAGTGGCCGTTACATGTTGCAGGCACCCGTTTTTAATTGTATATCACATTTTTTGATTTGTTTTCCCGTCTTCTTTTGGCTTTTTTCGTGCATTGTTGTTGTGAATCACTATCTAATGTCTATAAAACAAGGAATTGAATTGGATTGAAACATCGAAAAAAAAGAGTTTCTTTGGATTGAAATGGCAGACTTTCATAGGTTTTGAAAATTTCCGTCATTCTTTCAATAATCTTTTAAATACCAAATTGTTCTTGATGAAATTTAGGGGGTTTGATAAATAATCAAAGCATTTATTAGATCTATGTTTCAATTTATTCAAACATCGAAATATTGTGAGATGATTTTAACCAGAAATGCTGCTACTTAAGAAACCTGTGTTCGATCAAAAAAACGCATATTTTTTTTATCAATTTAGTTGGCGTTTTATTTCAAATTGAGTTGTGGATATTAGTTATCAAGGCATTATCCCTCAAATAAAATAGATATGTTTATTTATGATTGAGTAAATCTTTTATATAAAATTTTTTCTTCGATTTCATTAAAATTTCATAAATTTGAAATTTTTGTCAATTGTGTAATTAAATAAAAAATACAAAATATTTTTTTTATAAGATTTGGTGCGTTTGAAAAATGGTCAAAGCCTTTACAATGCATGTATTGATTCATTCAATTATCCTAACATTGAGAGTCGTTTCTTGCTCAAATGTTCTCGATTTTAAGGGTTTTTGAGAAATCAATTTTTCTAAAAAGAAAAATCATTTTGCTAAATAAAATTATATTTTTTGATGAATATGGGAATTGTTTTTCCATTTTTCTTAATAAAATTCTGTTTTTTTGTAAAAATATGTTTTTTAATGAATATGACAAAAAAAATGATTTTAAATTTGTTTAATGTTATATTTTTTTGAAAATAAAATAAAATAAATGCATCATAATGTCGCTCGATTTTTTTAATTATGATTTTTTAAGTACATGATATAATTCCATTGTAATAATGAAATGTGACACATTTTTTTTTTTTCAAAGTGCACACTTCAACAAGTCTACACGTGATGTGGGAGTGCAAAAAGGCGAGTAAAGACTAAAGACCGGCATAAAGCAAAGTCAATGAAATACTGCACCAATGTCTAGTATGTTCTTCTCCAAAAAAATTTCCTAAGATAAATGACGGTAATAAAATAATATACATTAAATCTGTGTTTATTTTTTTTCCTTTTTTTTATTATTTTTTTTCTGTTTTGGGGGATTTTTTATCCTTTTTTGTTTAAAAAAAGAATTCTACCGAACCAGTTCGTTTGGTTCTGGTTCCAATCGCTCCAGACCCCATATCCAGTTAATCGTTCCGATTCGATTTTGTGAACACTGCTATGGACAATACAATCACTTTTGTACCAACTGACTTTAAATGTAATTTTAACAAAATTTAAGTTGCTATTATTCAAAAAAGGAAAAAAAAGAAAATAGGATGAAAAATTTTCAAAAAAAAAAATCCTTTTTAAGAACATGAATAAATTCATACAATCACTTTTGTACCAACTGACTTTAAATGTAATTTTAACAAAATTTAAGTTGCTATTATTCAGAAAAGGAAAAAAAAAGAAAATAGGATGAAAAATTTTCAAAAAAAAAAAATCCTTTTTAAGAAGAACATGAATAAATTCTCATTTTTCTTAAAGAAAATTGTTTCATGTGGGCTGGACCACATTTTTACAATAGGCAGTCCAGAAGTATAAAGCATCCATCTTAAAGATGGACGCAAATAGGTGGTCCATCTAAAAACAATTGTAACCAACAATCCAAATGTTTTCTTAATATAATTACTATTTCAAATTTTCAATTTTTTTTTTTTTTTCATATTCATGATCTCCATGTTAAAGATTATACATACTCTAAAAATTAGGATCAAATTATATTTAAAAAATATATTTATTGCGAAGCCCGCATTTCTACAATATGCCGCCACATAGAAACCGTGTCCTTTACTGAAAGCACATAAATTACAACTTAATAATGTAGCATTTTCACCCAACCAAACCTAGTAGGTAACATTTAAATTGCAGCTCAATCATGTAGTGTCCACAACAAAACAAGCAGGGCACATAATCAAAGTTATATGCACAAGTGGGGCAAGGATCACAGGCATGAAAGTTCTGATCACTTGACCCAATAAGCAATCATGATCATCAAAATAATGAAGAAAATTATCTGCACCCAAATTACTAGAGCATCAGTACATAGATACAGTTGATAACACTTAAGCAAAGAAGTATCTACCAAAACAAATAAATAAATAAATAAAGTGGTTGAAGCAAGGTTTACCAGTACAACATTTTGCCGAGTCTTGCTTTCATTGGCATAGGACCTCCTAAAGAAATTCAGAAAAAAGGCTATAAATCATATTGTCTGAACACATAAGAAATTCCAAATTGTGACACATAAGAAGGCAAGTTACTCAACCTTTTATCAAGCGACCCAGAGGCTCTGCAAGCCTTCTGTATTGCTTCTACACGATCAAGAGTTTTTGTAGCATTTGGGTCGCCTTTATCAACCTGCAAGAGCAATGAACCCTATACATATTGCAGCTACAACAACATGATCATGGAGTTAATGAGGCAACCGAGTTTTACAACCGCCTTTGCAATTTGATTGCCCACTAATTCTTTTATGGACCTTCTTTTTCCATCTGACAATCATCCTATTATGAAACTCATTTAAGAGTTTTAGAAAGATGAAATCTATATGTAGAAAATCCATGCAGCAACCACAGAATAGTCATAGTTTTTTTATGGACCTTCTTTATCCTTCGGACAATCATCCTTTTCTAAAACTTATTTAAGGGTTTCAAAAGAATGAAATCTATTCCTAGAAAAATCCATGCAGTGACCAAAGAATATTCAGTGACTATAAAAGAGAGGATGAAGGAACAATAATCACCATTTCAAAACGTCATTTGATAAATATGAGCACTCAATAATGAGAGTGTTGAAAATAATTACATATTACGAAATATAAATCACATTCCGATTGTTAGAAAATATATCTGATATGCATTGTAACTCAACAAAATATCATATACCCTAATATATAACTGCGTTGCCGATGTCTATTTGATATTTGGTACATGGTTAGCACATATGTCTACTTTTGTTCTAGTAGCCAGGAATAAATTTGCAATTTTTTTTTCCTCTCATTTGCATAGATTGAAACGGTCATGGGCTCCAAAATGAACATCTCTCTCACTTTTGAGTTTGTTATTCCATCTTTACATGTTTGCATGCAGGGCATTCAACACCAGTATGTATCATGAGCCTGCAACCATTCACTGGTTGCATATGTCATGTGACAATCCTTTTCATCTCACAATTGAAGATCTTTCCCCAGAAAACTTCTTTAACTTTATGACAGGTAGCCAAAAAAAAAAACAACAAAAGAGAACAATGCAGAAGCTGCTACTAAAGACGTAGTGCAATTTACTACAACTTCAGAATAATGGAGAACCTAGTTGATGAAGTAGAAATTAATTAAAAATCATCAATAGACTGAAAGAATGCAAGCTTCAAAAGTTATGACGGCTATTTTCAAAAGTTAAAACTCAATTTTAAAAGATACTAGCACCCAATTTTCATCATAACAATGAAGAGCTACAAAGGTCTCTTACAGAAATTTATTTATTCTTCTCTTGAATCTTCAAAAGAATTTTTAGAACTGTATGTGAAAGTATCTCCAGGAGCAAACTATGAGACCTTTGCCCCACTGCTTGGTAAAGTGTATACAAAATGAAACAACAAATTTTGAAATTTTTTTCCCTCTATGTAAGGCTGGGAATCCAAATGTTTAAAGAGCACCAACGTCAACTACATTAAACAACATCATACCTTAGAACTCAGCATGCATGAAAAATCGAAGAAGGCACCATACACATCAGCCATTGATCTCGTTTCATCCATTACCCTTGCAACTAAACCTGGAGAATGCACAAAAACAATTGATAAGCAAATACTTTTTGTCTTGCATAATAACAACGCCATGCCCACCAGGGAATGGCTGCAATAGTAAATATTGTATATTCTGAACTCAGCAAAACATTCCAGAAAACAGAAAATTCATGCCAAAATGGGTAAGATTAATACGCCACATATGCCTATTCCATTCTGATCATCAATAAGTGCAATAGTCTATTTCACTTTCACACACTTGTATGTACGTACAAGTGCAACAATGTACATCAGAAATTACAAGATTTAATTACCTCGTCTCATTCTCACGACTCCTCTAAAAAGTTCAACGTTGTTATAGCATAAAGCCAAAGTCCCTATTGCCATGATCTGAAACAGGTAGGTGCAACACATCAACACCAATCAATAACAACAATATTCAACATTTACATAGCAAAAAATTTTAAAGATTATTATTACCATTGGATCTTATTATACAATATACATGTTTTGTTTTTAGACTGATTATATTCTGGTCATTTTATTTCAAATACACTTGTAGAGATATGTTTCATAATGTGAAATGGTTGCTTTGGTTATGTACCTTCCACAACTCAGTCAATGGGATAGTGGATAATAGGTATATAATTTAGATCTGGTAGAACATGAATGGGTAAAGTAATGGCAACAGGGAAGATTTTGCGCAGTTAGGAATTACAGAACTAACTGGTTGAAGCACTCAAATGGATTTTATCATATTCAAAGCTCTTTGCACTATTTTTCACTTAAGGTGCAGCAGGAGTTTTATGATCTAGGAATACTTGACCTTCGAGAAACCAAAAAACCTGCAGTGACGCTGCAATTGAAGTTATAGGTTAAATAGTTGATTCCCGATCCTTTTTTGGTAAACTTTCAAATTCGAAGAACTATTTTCCAAGAAATGGTTAGGTCATAAAACGGTCCACAATAATTAATACAAACATATTCCAAAGGAATTGATCACATAATCTCAGACTCTTGATATTCATGTTTGCTCAGTTGTGTAGGTTATCTAGCTGCAGTGGTGATTAAGCTCCACAACTCTATCCCAATTCGTTTCTCACATGCTCTTCAAGATTCCATCTAGATCTTTTCATCATGCCAGGAATGTTAGTTTTTTCTCATTTTACTGACACCCTAGTCCCGAAAAAGTCAGCAGCACCTCCCCTTAATCGGAGTCAATCTCAATACAAAAATCTCCACAAAACTCCTAGTCCCAGTAGGAATTAGATCAGGTTTCGGAGGCTAATCCAACACAAGAACACTCCTAGTCGCAATTAAATTCCTGCAGGAATTAGATCTAGTTTTTGAGGTTAACAAAGAGATAAAAGTAGTCCGGGACCTAAAGGCACGAGAGGAGCTCACTTTCTTCGAAGTATTTAACACCCCCGACACAGTTAGAAACTGAGATGAAAACAGTAGTAGCAAGAATACTACCAGGATACAACCAGATTAGGAAACGCTTCTTGAGTTTCCGAGTTCCATGCTCAAAGACTCACTTAAAATCACAACGTTAATGATCTTTGCTCGTTGTGATCATCAAATTCCTATGCTCTCGGTTTCGGTCACCCCTCTCTTTTTTTTTTAAGAATTCTCTATTTTCCCACAGGTGTAACCTTTCTGTTCTCTCAAAAACACATAACACACTCTCTCTTCCTATTTCTCTTACCCTCCCTTTTAAACTATAACAAAATATAATAATAGTCCAACTCTAGGACATGATGGATAGAGGTGAAAAAGGAAGAGTAATGTCAGTTTTAAAAGAGAAAGTAGCCTAGAGGTGAAAAAGGAAGAGTAATGTCAGTTTTAAAAGAGAAAGTAGCCTAGAGGTGAAAAAGGAAGAGTAATGTCAGTTTTAAAAGAGAAAGTAGCCACATGTTTTTACGTGGCAAAAGAACGAGAAGAGGGATGGGCAACAAGAGGAAAGGAGGGAGTTTTTCATCGCCCCACCATAGGTGAGAAAAATTTGGTGGTCCTCAAGGACCAAATAAATATAAAAGGGCCATCAAGGAAAACATAAGAAGAGAATTGTTTTTTTAGAAATGAAAATAAAATAAAATAATTGTTTTAAAACTAATAAATTAACTAATTTAATAATCTCCAACTAGTTTCAAAACAATTTAAAACCATAAACAAATTATATGAGCAAGATCAATAGAGAAATGCATAAGAAGGCATCCTAGATTTGAACCTCCGCATAGTGTTATACAGAATGCTTACCTGGACAGTGAGTGGACGAACCTTGAACTACATCCATTATAGATAAGCCTCCTACATGACACATTTCCTTTCAAATGTTGTGATTTTCTAAAAGGCTTGCGCTTTTAAGGCCCTGCGCCATTCCTGGTTTTCATGAGCACTCTAGGGAATATCCAGTTCCCATAGAAAGTGGCCTCCACTTCCACACTCATCTAGGTAAGTCTATGGAGGATGTTCAGCAATGCAACATCTCAGCCAGGCCTTACATCTTCTAGGCAATAGAATTCCTCTCCATTCATTGCAGTCAATTGTACCATATGGAAGGGATGGGGTAGAAATTTATAAATTCCCATTGAATAAAATTTTGGTACAAAACATACATCAGACATCACACAAGTGACTTGTTTTTCCCCTTGAACCTCATACTTAAGATCTCCTTGTTCTTAGGTAAGGTTCCCATCACTCTGTGGCAAAATATAGATGGGCTCCAATCCCATCCCTCTAGCTCGTCTACCAGACTTGGTCCCTTGCAAGGCTTTTGTTAGTAGATCTGCCAAGTTTTGGTTAGAGCGAACATGGAATACTAATATTACTCTATCTTCCAACAAAAGTTTTAGCTGACTGTGCCTCAAGTGAATATTTTTGGATTTTTCAGAATAAATCTTACTTTCGCTTGGTAAAGCTTCACAGTCACACCGAATTGAGATTGTAAGGATGGGCCAAGAGACAAGTGTTATGTCTACCAACAAGTTCCTTAAGCCACTCAGCCTCTTTATTAGTGACTTCCAAGGCTATTAACTCTAATTCCATCGTGGATTTGGATATACAAGTTTGCTTCTTGGAACCCTAAGCAACGGCACCCCCACTATAAGTAATCCATAAGCTAATAGACAGGGATTCATCAGTATCCGTAATCTAGTTTGCGTCACTGTATCTTTCTAATACAATGGGTTCACCCACAAAATGTAGGCCCTAGTTTATGGTTCTTTTGAGATATCTCAGGACCTTATAGACCGCATTCTACGTTACTGGTATATGTACTCAGCTTACCCACAGCAAAGCCTATATCATGTCTAGTACAAGACATTGCACAATTATATATCCAATGACTTGCATTGTCCAATTGGCAAATAGGAGCATTACGGTTCCTTCTAAGTTTAACATGAGCATCATGTTGGGTCGAAATTGGTTTTGCATTCATAGCGATAAAATTTATTGAGCATTTTCTCTATATAGTGGCTCTAGGTAAAAAAATACCCAGTAGTTGTCCTCGTTATTTTGATTCCAAGTATCACATCAGTTTGCCCCAAGTCCTTTATATTAAATTCAGAAGACAATAGTTTCTTAGTCTCCTCAATGCATGCAGTATTGCTGCCTAGTATGAGCATATCATCTACATACAGGCAAATAATTACAACCGCACCATCACATACCTTGGCATATACATATGTATCAGCATCGCTGATTTAAAATCCGCGTGATAAAACAACTCTATTGAATTTTTCATTCCATTGTTTGGATGCTTGCTTCAAACCATACAAGGATTCCACAGGTTTACAAACCTTGTGCTCTTGTCCCTTAAAGACAAATCCCTCAAGTTGCCCATTTAAAGTTTTTTCATCTAGTTCATCATGAAGAAAAGCAGTTTTAACATTCATCTGGTGAATTTCTAGATGGTATATAGAAGCCATGGTAATGAGTACTCGAATGGTAGCTATTCGAGCGACTAGAACATAGGTGTCAAAGAAATCAACACCTTCCTTTTGTTTACATCCTTGTGCAACCAGCCTTGCTTTATATTTCTTAGAAGTACCATCCACCTTTATTTTCTTTTTGAAAATACATTTACATCCTAAGGGCTTAGCACCAGAAGGTAAATCCACCAGTATCCAAGTGTCATTTCTAATATTGATTTCATCTCAGCGTTGGTTGTCTCCCTCCAAAAAGGAGTGTCACGTGAGGGCATAGCATCTTGGAAATTTTTAAGATCTTCGACCAAAAGATACATCTCAAAATCATGACCAAAATCAGTTGGCTTCCTTATTCTTTTACTTCTCCTAGGTTCTCATGATCATCAATTTTGTGTTTACCTTGTTGTTCTTCACATTCATTATCCTACTCACCAATAAATGGGTGTTCAAATAATTCTGCATCCCTGGACTCTTTTATCACATTAGATTCAAGGTCTAGAAATTTATATGCTTTGCTATGTTCAGTATAGCCCAAAAACACACTTTACAAATCTAGGTCCAAATTTGGGCCTCTTAAGGTCAGGGAGCCAAAGCTGTACAACCCCAAATCTTGAGGAATCCTAAATAAGGTCTCCTTCCTTTCCAAAGTTCATATGGTGTAGAATTAGATTTTGAATATGGTATTTGATTCAAGATATAACATGCCAACATTAAAGCCTCTTCCCATAAATTAGCAGGGAGGTTAGAATTAATGAGCATGGCATTCACTATACCCACAAGAGTGTGATTTTTCTTTCAGCTAAACCATTATGTTGTGGTGTGTATGGGGCAGTAACCTGGTGAATTATTCCATTTTCTGTGTAATAGTTAAGTGAATTTGGTGGAACAGTATTCACCACCTTTGTCACTTCTTAAAACCTTGATTTTCAAATTCAATTAGTTCTTAGCTTCTGTTCTATAGATCTTATATTTCTTAAATACTTCATCTTTGTTTCTAATCAAACAAACAAAGGTGCATCTTGAGAAATCATTTATGAAAGTGACAAAGTACTTCTCTCAGATCACATACATCACCATGTACTAATTAATACCAGTAAACTGAAACTTACTTTCCAATATAAGAAAAGGTTTCCTATCAACTTTGATCGTACACATACATCACACACTATTTTCTAGAAGTACTCATTTTTCTTAAAGCATGATACTTAAAGAGACCTAATCTACCATGCCATAAATAAAAGGAATCGAGCATATACAAAAAAGAAGAGGTACATGTTTCATTATGTACACTACACTTTAACATGCCTTCAGTGTTGTACCTCATTCCTACAAAGTCGTCATTCTTCAAGAAAACAACTTGTTGGATTCAAAGAGAAGTTTAAAGCCCCTCTTATTCAACAAGTATTCTAACACCAGGTTTTTCAGGACTTCGGGGGCATGATACACATCCAGAAGGGTGAGGACCTTGCCAGACGTAATTTTTAATTGAATTGTCAAGCTTTAATTGAATCATCCCTTTAACTAGTACTTTAGAGGAGAAAGAATTGCCCAAATAAAGGATAGTGTCGTCCCCCAACATTTCATAAGCCCTAAACACGTTTTTGCTATTACAAACATGTCTGGTGGCTCCAGAGTCCACCCACCATTTTGTAGTGCCCCCAACTGCATTAGCTTTAGAGATCATAGCAACAAATCTTTCTTCCACCACAATGGCTTGAGTCAGCTGTCTCTTTAGAGTTCTACAAAATTTTTGCATATAATTGACTTTGCTACAAAAATAGCATACCAAAGTCTTTTACCCTTATCTTAAGCTATCTTTGAGTTTACATCTTGGGTATCTTTATTACATTCTTTCTTTTCTTCAATCTTGATTCCTTTTCAGTCCACAACTTCTTTCTTGGACCTTCAATCTGAGAATTGTACTCTTTCATATCTCAAAGTCAAGTCAACTCTTCGACCCACAAATGGGTCATCAATCGTTCAAGGCTCAAGTCTTTTGACTCAGGCATTAGTGTGTTTTTGTAGTCTTTCCAAGAGGGTGGCAACTTATCATTTTTTGCACCGACATGGAATGACTCATCAATTTTAATAGCATTTGATGGAAGCTCATTGACTATAATATGAAACCACGGCTTTGAGCCAATACCCATTTTTCTTCGGTAATTTTAAAAATTAAGTATTTGCTAATGAAGCACTTCTTCCTATCAGCAATCTTCTTTTTTATATTTGGCATCCAAATCTTCCCACAGTCCTTTGCAGTTGGCATTCATGAGTAAAGGTCAAACAAAGGATCACTTAGAGCATTCAGGATATATGCCCTTTACATATGCAATCATTTTCGTCCCATTCTTGAATTTCTTCTGCAATCTAATAAGTGGTGGTTTGATCACCAGTAGAATTCGAGGGTGTGATTCTAGTAATGGGACGTGCTTCCTTAGTACATAGTCCACTTTTAAGGTCCTCAATAAGAATAGGACCTTACCCTATCATCTTTTAAAATTAATTCCATCAAAATGATCCAACCTTACAAAATCTTAGGTCCTTGCTTTCAGCGAGCTTCCAGTGGCATATCGTCACTTAAATATTTTGAAATCATTAGGTTTTCCCAATTTTATTAACATCCCAGTCTCAAAAAATTCAGTAGCACCTCCCCTTAACCCAAGTCAGTTTCAATACAAAAATCGCTAGAATACTCCTAGGCCCAGGTAAATTCCCATAGAAATCAGATCAGTTTTTCAGAGGCTATATCTGGCAACAAAAACACTCATTGTCCCAATTAAATTCCCGTAGGAATTACATCTAGTTTCAGAGGTTAACGGAGTGATAAAAGAGTTCGGGATCTGAAGGCACGACGCTTTTTTCAAATTATTTAACGCCCTCAACTCAGCTAGAAACCGAGATGCAAATGGTGCCGGCAAGAATGCTCCTAGGATACAGCCAGATCATGAAACTCTTCCTCAGTCCCCGAGTTGCATACTCAAAGACTCACCTAAAATCACAGCATTACTGATCTTGCTCCTTCTGACCATCAAATTCTCGTGCTCTCGATTTCGGTCACCTTTTTCTCTGTTTTTTAAAGGTATGAAGTCGTCCAACTCTAGGACGTGTTGAATAGAGGTGAAAAAGGAAGAGTAGTTTTAAAAGAGGGAGACTGGCCACATGTTAAAACGTGGCAAAAGAACAAGAAGAGGAAGGGGAGTTCTTCACCGCTTCACCATAGGTAAGAAAAGAGTTGGTGGTCCTCAAGGACCACATAAATATAAAAGGACCATCAAGACAACATAAAAATAATAATTGTTTTGAAACTAATAAATTAACTAATTTAACATAGGATGCATCCCCTATCAAATCCATTCATTACTTTGAAATTGGAAGTTTTACTTATTCCTTTGAAATTGCTCAACAACATGAATAACATGGTCAAAGGAATTGGTATGACTTTCAACATAGGCTCCTCATTTGAAGGAATCAGAAACACAACAAACTAGAAGAAATCTTCCCTCTTCGTGCCCGTTACCTGATTTTCTATTGTACGAATCAGTACGTTTGATTATCCTAAGACAACTTCTAGTTGCCGCCCATAAGTCAACTGGAAGACATTGACTTGGCATAGTAGGTATGGACCCAGACTATCAACCAAAAATGAAAAACAAGAAGAAAAAAATTGATGCATGTACTAGATCTTCTGAATAAATAAGAACACAACCAAACACAAAAATAAAAATTAACTTCTCACTAAATATAAGAATGCAACTATATCACTTAAGTCTCATCTATCAAAAGAAAAAACTGCATGCTGAAACGCCTTTTTCTCAAATTTGATGGTTCTAGCTGCCACATTCTTTAGAATCCATATTTGATAAACTCCAAAACCCATTTTTCACACCGATTAGCAGTTTCTTGCGCAGATAATTAAAAAGAAAAAAGCTAACATACTTGTTTGCACTTCGAAGCATAATATTGATTTTTACACTATGCCCAGCAAATCATAGAAACTATTTCATGGGGCCAGCCATATATATTTATCGCATAGAACTTCATGAGAGTCCAGTAGCATGCTGCCATGTTGTATTCATGAGAAAGGAAAATCCATTATAACATAATGTGACAAATATAAGTGTTCAAATACCTTCTATTTTCAGAAAAGACAAAAACACACACACACACACACAAACGCAAACACATGCCCATGTGCGTTTTTCTGGTATCGTATTAACTCATTTGATAAAGTGATGGATTAAATGTAGATGGAACATTGGTGATCGTAATGGTAGTTTAAAAGGCTGCATACCTGAGGAATGGCACAAAATCGGAATATTGCAGGATCTCTTAAAGCAGACATGTACTTCAAGCAATCCTCCACATGAAATAATGCATTGGTGACCATTTCATTCAAACAACGTACTGCCTCTGATGAGTTTTCCTCATATTTGAAGTCCTAAAAACATTTTCAGAAGGGCTCAGAAATGACCTATCACTTGGGTATTATTCAGCCAAAAAAACAAGGGGGAAGAAAAAACACTCATAGCAAGGGATGAATCTAAAGCCATTAAAAGCAAAGACAAAACCAAAAGAACATCTGACAAAATAGAAAAAATCCATAAAAAATGAAAATTGACCCAAGACCGACCTCTAGTTTAAGGGCGTATTTATTCCATATTTCTCGGGGCCAGAACATGCGTGACTTTGGCACCTCATTTATGTCCTCCAAATAGTCTCTAATGATATTTGTTTTCTGCAATTCAAAGACAAGAGTACTGTTATATATCCAAGTCACATATCTAGTGATTAGAAGAATGCTCCTATGAGTTTCTTGAATAAAAGCCCATCAAGTTCATCTTCCAAAACCCACCTGAAGGAACAAGCCCATTGAATTTGAGAGAGAATCTGGGGCGAATTCTTCTGTTCCAGAAGCATAAAAGAGACGGGATAATCCCAACCCAACAAGTCCTGCCACATAGTGGCAATACTCATCATAGTCATCGATTGTTTCCACCTATGAAGCAGATGAAAGAAGTCAATAATGTACCTCATGTTTATCCGATGAACAATAGTCGAAGCTATCACTGCAACCCTAGTGATCCATGTAGTTCTGAGTTATCCTATGCAGGATCAACAGAATAGAGATTCTATAACTGGAAATTTATGGTGCAAATTGTGATGGTAGGATCAACAGAATGGAAAAGTTTGGTCGTGTTGCGCAATTTTAGCAACATATATGATGAACCGTATCTTCAACTTATAACCATTTTTAATTTTTAGTTCATTTTCATAATTCCGGAAAGAAAATGATAAGGGTCCAAAGAGTTTGGAATATGAGGTGGAAGGATAGAGTAGAAAATCAAGAGGAGGTTTCAAGCAGTAGATTTGACCCCCCTGGTGGGAATAAAGGTTTGAGTATTGTCAACTAGACGCTTGTTCCTCAAGTCATAAGATAAAAGTATTATCAATTTGTTCTTTGACAAGTGTTAACAGTTTCAAAGAGAAGCTTGATATGATATTCATCCATCATAAAGCGCAAAGTTTAAATATGCAAAGATACAGGCACAAGGAGCAAGCGCAGTTACAGATTACCTCTGGTGCAGTACAGTTTCCCTCAGGTGTTTAATACTATTCCATGACATCCAAAATGAGGATTAGCACAAGTGATAGAGTGTATTTGTGTTTAGCCACAGCTAGCATACTATACTGAAGAACAGTTGTTCTTAAGAATATAATAATTATTCTATGACATCCTAAATGATTAATGAGCACAAAAACATGATGGTGTACTGATGCAGTTAGATTAGGATATGCATCAGAAGTTCACAACCTTTGGTTTATGGCCATGAAGATGAATAAAGAACACCCAGTGAAGTAAGTTCGGAGATAGCCAACAAAGTAAAGTATATAGCGTATAAAACATGTATATAGCGCACCTCCTTGCAAATAAATTTCGCCATCCCTGCACCCATTCCTTTGGTAATATCTTCAATGGCCTCTTGATACCTGGAAAAGAAAAAAGAAAATAGAGTGAATTGAATTACAGCCTCCTCAAAGGAGCAGCAGGTAAATTCAACAGTCCATGAATCAACTTCAATCAACCATTGCAATGTGGCAAAGAGAAAAGTCATTTGTTGACTGTACCCCTGATTGGCAGATAATATATATTCCCAAAGTATAATAATGTTGAAAAGAACCCCATAGTCTAATTTTTAAAAATTAGAAGGTTACCCAATTTTTATTGAAGATGTCAAAACTGCAACTTCTTTTGGACTGCACGAAGACTGGTGCATTCAAATGAAATTATTATTCAAGCTATACTAGTGAGAACAAACCTTCTTCCAAGCTCCAGAAATGAACTTGCCACGTGTTGGAAGTGATCCATCAACATTTTATAGTGATTTGTACCACCTAAAGATAAAATGAAACATTAGGATTAATTTACTTAAATTCAAGCTTTGAAAAGAGACATTGAACAAGAAAATAATCTTGCAAGCAGGATAGATTATAGATGCAGTTGAAGTAACTTGCAGAATTAAAAATGTATTAATGATTCATATATCAGTGACAAGTCAGCCAAAAATGAAGTAGAAGTAGCATATATGGTAATCTAAATTTGTATGCTTACATGAAAAGTGCCAATTGACGTCATATATGTGACGATGAAAAGACTCCAATATTGGTAATTTGACATCAGCAGGTATGCTAGTATCATCCTCTGCATGGTAAAAACATGCAAGTTAATTAGAAATATAGAATAATGCAAAACCCATAAAAATCATGATTTGATAGGTATAACAAAAACCAAGAAATGGTCAAAAAATAAACTAGAGAAGTAACTTAACAATCAAACATCAAGAAAGATATGCAGGACATGTATGGGAATCTGCATAAACAAAGGGGAAAGTTATCAAAAAGCACCGAAGAGAGGAACTACTTAACATGTCACCTGTTTCTTTTGATTTAGCTTAAAAAAGACCATCAAAGGACAAAATAATCATGAGTTATAAGAGTTAATATTTTAGGAATGGCTTAATAAAGAGAAAATTTTGTACAGGCCCCTCAAAAAAAAAGAAAAAAATAAAAATTTCATAATAACTCCTCTCTCATTTTCTCCTACTGTGCAGCATTAATTTTTAGAAGTATCTATCATCCTACCCCCTCCTCACTTCCCTCCCCTTCCTTTGTTACCTTTGCCCCATTAAGTGCCCCAAACAAAATATGAAATCTTTCAAAATCCTCTCTCATCCCTCAAAAAAGCAAGAGACAAGGAAGGGGAGTTATTGAGGTAAAAAATATTTGTTTTGCGCAGTTAGTGAAGTAAAAATAAAGAAGGAAACAGAGAAATGTGAGCAAGGGGTCAGATAATACATACTAATAAAAATCAATGCTGCAACGATAAGAACAATAAGGGAGAGGTTATTAGAAATTAAATAATTTTTAAGGGATCCATGCAAAACTTTCCCTTTTAATAAATGTTGAAATGCCAAATACATGATTTTTCGTGTGGTTTGCTAAATTTCGCCAAATAAGAACACATTAAAGTACTAAAAGCTTTTTCAGCACTGGGCGTGGTGCATGGCGGTCTCACATTCCCAGGCACCTAGTGCTGGATATCATGAAATGCATACACAGTTATGTAGACTCTTAATGAAAGAGTTATGTCAACTACAGGGTGTTCCATAACGGTAGAGGAGTAGATCCAGAAAAAATTGACCACTCCATTAGTTTTCTTGTTTACTTTCTACAAGCATGACCATGTGGGTGCCTGTGGAAACTAGTGCATCTTAAGGGCGTGTGTGATTTGGAGCCACAATTTACACAGGGTGACATTTTACATGGTTCCCCACTAACATTGTAATTGGCACTGTAGGGTCCCACATAGAGCACCAATTTCCTTGAAGCTGACAAGGTGGGGCAGGACATCCCCCCCAGAATCAAATGGGGGAGATGTCCTATAGTGTCGAATGCGCAAGGGAGCATTGTGCTCTCAATGCTTTCAAACGCATCTTAAATATTGGTTGTAAGATAAATACAAATAATACAATCACAACTTTTGTAGAATAGAAATTTATTTCCTTCTGAATACACAAGAATATTTACTTATAGAAAAAGCACATGAAATTTTCGTTCAACATCCTGGAAAAACAACATAAATAAAAAAAGTGAATAATAATTTTATGACTTTGAATGCGTAATGACACAAGGTAAAATAACATAGTCAAAGAGGAACATATATTTCAGCAGTAGCAAGGAACAGACCTACTGTATCAAGCCCACGAAGAACCAAGTAAAATATGCAAACCTACAAAATTCAAGAGAAGCAACATATCATTAGTTCAAGGCCTTTATGTCACTAAGACTGAAATCATTTTAGCAGAAACCAATTGTAAATGTAAAACTAGGAAATTTAATGACACGAGAAACAGTTAACTCATGTCCTTAGGATGGAAAATGCTTCACAAACATCAATTAATAAATATGTGAACAATGGCAGCCAGGACAGAAACTAACCTTATTGAAGCATTTTCTTTCTACGAACACATACCAATTAACATTTTAAAGTTAGCCAAGACAATTCGGACTTTCATCATATGAAGGCATAACAATTGCGTATTTAAAATAGTTTTTTTTTTCCTAACATAGTGTAGTACTTCAATATGAAATCCCAATAGCAGGAGCCCCTCCTGATATTGAATTACTTTCAACAAATTGGTCCGCTGGTAAGCATAAGGTAGTTATAATATCATTGTATGATGCATATATGTTTAGGTGGAGTTTATAGTTTCTTCTGTTTCTGGCTATAATTCAATCAAAAACTTGCCTTGAGCTCAGAACACAGCACCTGCTACGAGCCCAAAATGAGCTAAAAGATTGCAAAAAAATATAATACAAAAATTGCTAAAAACCCAAAAAATAAATATACCCGACTCTGTACATTTAACTCGCTTCCGTAAGGTCCCAAGTCCGAACCAACTCAGTAGAATCTCAAAACTGCTAATTTAAACCTCGAACACCAAATAGAACTAAAACTCACATAGATCATTTTCCAATGAGCAAGTGATTATCTTGCAAACGGCACAAATATCCCTTCTGGTACTGTGTGCCATACGTTAAGATCACTCACAATAGGAAAAGTTCCATTTCCAACTAACAACACACCATTTGTCACAAGTTTAGGCTATCTATAATTTCACCAACTAAACCTCATAATCATCATGTAAGTATAACTATATACTTACAAAAACATTCAAGAACTCATGACCCTTAGAATATGAAAAAAGCATTAATCACAACAACCAAACAAAAACCCCAACAATCAAATCTCATCAGGCCGTGTCCACAAAGAACACACCAATCTCAACAAAACTTCGAAAAAAAAAAACAAGCTCAAGCTTCAAAACCAAAACAAGAAAAGAAAGCCCACGAGAATTTTAGACTGAACAATTTATATGTACATACAGCATTCCGAAGCTCTGGTTCAAGTTGCTGGATCACGAGAGCAAAGCTTCGTGAGACCTTTTGGAGCATGGTGTAACAGAAGGCCCAATGTGGCTCTGGTGGAACCTGCTTCTCTGCATATAGAGATGCAAACTTGAGCTTTACGAGGGCAGGCAAATCCGCGGGGTGTTTTAGTAAAGAACCCAATTTGCCCATTTTCGATTCACTATTCTTGCTTCAATAGACCTCAGATCTAAATTTGAAGGAGCCGAATGAAAATCGGAGAAAATCAGAGGAATCGAAATACCCAATGCGGGTGTTTTCCTTCTCAGTAAGAACGTGAGAGAGATTAATGGTCGATCAGAAATTTGACAATGGAGAAAAAACTGAAAAAAAGGGGAAAAAAGGAAACCGTAGAAGGCGCTTTCGAGACAGATCGTTATCGGGTAGCTCAAAGAAGGATAAAGAAGAAGAATTTGGAATTTTTTTCTTGTTCGTTATAAATTAATGAGAAATGAGAAAACAAGGACGACAATTGCTTATACGCATCCACCAACAGACATGGAGAGAGGGGGAGAAGGGGTTTATATACTGGTGGGGCGGTTTGTATACAACCTAGGCTCCAAACAATCAAAGTAAAGCGCACCTTCAAGTGTTAAAAAAATATCGTTTCAATATTGAAAATCTTTGTAATAACTTTAAAATATATTTTACTTTCAATTATAAAATTTTAATTCTAAAAAATAGGATAGATCAAGCATAACAATAAAAACTTGAAGAATTAAAAAATTGACGGTCAAATAATGTATAATGTATTATTTTTAAAATTTAAAATTTATTTATTTTTTCATGTCTTTATATGTTGATACCGATATGATCAATAGGAATATATTTGTGCATCAAAACATCCATTTCCAACGAAATTTTGATATGTACAAACTTTTTCCTTATATTCTGAGTGAGATGGGCAGGCTTTTTGTGGTCAAATTTGGTGTTCCCCAAACTAATAAGAGTCCTCCCTCGGCCAAAACATCATCATTTTTGGCTATAAATACAAGGGTGAAATTGACCACCCTGAGTTGACAACCGTCGACACGAGTGTCCCGGCCTTACAAGTTTCAAGGACGGAATCGACCACCCTGTGAGTAGACAATCGACAACACGAGTGTCGCTGTTAGCATGCAGCCAGTCTCCATAATATAGAAATGCAATAAATATTTTTTTTAATATAATTTAATTTTAATTTTTAAAAAATATATAATCTTTAACCTATGAATATGAAAAAATAACTTAATTTTAAAAAAATTAAAAATAATAATTATATTAAAATTACATTTGGCCAGTAAGTTATCATTATTTTTAAATGGACCACCTTTGCATCCATTTTTAGGATGGATGCTTTATATCTCTGGACTACATATTGTAGAAATACGGTCTAGCCTGCATGAAACAATTTTTCATAAGTTTCTCTTTATACTTTGAGTTTAGAAGCAAAGATTAGGACCATCACTATGATTAATTAAGGATAATTAACGTAAGAAATTTACTTTAAAAAGGTGAACAATAACTCTAATATGTATATATTTTGCAAAAGGTTTTTTTTTTTTGGGTCAAATTTTCATTTTATCCAAAAATACCTCCTCAACCATACTTGAATCACGGGATGGTGTCCCAGATTTTTTTTTTTTTTTTCTTCTTTTAAAATCTGACACTTGAAAACCTAACTTCTTTATAATTATATCATTAAAGAATCCCAAGTGCCACATCGTAACTTTGGCAAAAAAAAATTTCCACAAATTAGTCTGGGCTCTCCCTCTCCAAAAAGCCCCCAAAGATATTTTGTTCTTCTTGCCGAGTATTCCGACGCTCCCAAGTACCGAACTCACTTTTGGCATTATAATTGCTAAAGGTTGGTTCGATACTTGAAGTTTCGATCCACTTTGGCATTAAAATTGTTAGAGGCTGGTTCAATACATGGAGAGCGCTCTAATCGCTGACTGCTTGATTGGATCGGAACCGTCTAGTGCCCGATTTTGGTTTTGGGCAGTTTTAGTGACCGACCGGTATTAAAAAAAATTTCTAAAAAATAGATATAAATTACCAAAAATACGGAATTTGGTTTGTAATGTATTTTTTAATATTCTTTATATTATGGTAAAGATTAAAATTTGTTTTCGTCATTAATACTCACTTTAATTCAAATATCGATTTGTTAAAATATAAAATTTTTTCATTAATTTTCAATTTCATTTGAATGTGTTTTATTTTAATCATTCTTTATATGTTTTCATATTTCAGTAGATTTTTTTTTTTGTACATTTTTTATTTTTTCTACGCATTTTTTACCGTCCCGTACTTACCTAGTTAGAACGGTTGAATCGGCTGGTTTACCGGTTAGCCGGACTGCTTTTGGGCTCATGTCCGGTTAATCATTCCGATTCGATTTTGCAAACATTGGTCGGACCAACTTCTCAAAAAGTATTTTAAATGTGGTCTGGTACCGGGATATGGGTATTTTGGCCAATGAGAAAAAAAAGATTCTAGTTTAAAGATGAAATTAATTAGCCTTTTGGAAAATATTCAGATTATGTAAAATGTTTTATTTAATGTTATCAATAAAAGCTAAGTAATCTTGTAAAAAAAAAAGTTATATATGTTATAATTTCCTCTTATACCACTTAAAATGTTTAAATGGATAGGGAGGTAGCAGAGATAGCTTGATTGTTGATCTCTTCACAATTCCTTATTCTTTTTAATTTATTGAAGTGTTCTCAAATTTTGAAGTGTTGATATGTGACGACAGCCAAGACCTAAAGCATCACAATAAGGTTGCTCTAAATAAAAACAACCAATTATATCTAAGAGATTTGTGTTGTCTTTTCCGTAAAAACAATTACAAAGGAAAACTCTTATGTATTTGATATAAAATAAGATTTTAATTTTAGAGATAGATTTTATAGCCAAAACTTTAGGGGTTGAGGTTGAGAATCTCCATTACGGTGAATATGAATAAAGAAAAAAAAATTAAAATAAAACATTATGTTTTTTAACACCTTTTATGTTGAGTTTTCATGGGACCACCATTTCTCCACATCCATATTTAAGGTGGATGTTTTATGCGCCACGGGATGCTAATCAGAAATCTGTTCCTGTTTGAAAGTAGGTTTTTTATTTTATTTTATTAAGTTCTTGGGTTATCAAATTTGAGGTTTGAGGTTATTTGAGATTATTTTGCAATTCCATTTTTCTTAGGGTATTTGTGTTTTGAATTGTGGGGTAGAATTGGAAATTTAATTCTTTAAAGATGAAGACTTTGGATTTAATATTGATCCGGGTTTCTTAAAGAGCAAGTTAGGTTTTAAGATTTTTATTCTATAAATATATTTGTATAAAAAAAAAAAAGAGAAAAAAACTAACTTTAGTTTCGTGAAAAGATCTTTTTGGGTGGACTCCCTTACGAGATTCTTGAAAAAAGGTATAATATTTCATCTCTTTATTTTTGACTTGTTTTTTTATTATATTTCTTCTTCTCATTGCATCAATTGATATCAAAGCCTTAAGATCTATCAATTATAATGCCACTATAAAACACTTTTATGAACGATGATATATTGCTATATATCATTGAGTTTGTAAATCAACAAATTAAAACGAGTGTTAATCAATCCATGGAAGATATTTTAGACGAGATCCATGGATTTCGTAAATCTTTTGGTGATATAAATTGGTGGTTGAAACAATTAGAAAATATCAAAAAAGATGGTGCTCGCAACAACATAGAATCAATCCTAAATTTCACCCTATATATGAATTGAGCCCACGACTAACGGTCGGGGGGGGGGGGGGGGGAGGGGGGGGCCAATACCGAATATAATGGGAAAATATAGAGGCAAGACCCATGAGCAATAGAGCATCCACAAGATATTGTATTAAGGTCGATCATCTCAAAGCTCTTCTTAGAGTTGAGTGCAGGTAAAAGGTTTTTTTTTTTTTTTGGAGTGGATTGCCAAAAGAATAGAAGTTAACTTATTGTACCCAAGCTTGGCGTGTATATTGTGTCTTGGTGGAAATGAGCTCTAAAATCTCAACTTCAAAATAGAAAAAGATAAAAAATTTTAATTGGCAAAAGATAAAAAAGAAATTGAAAGAAAATCTTCTTCTTCTTATGGTCATGAGCAACTGTTTTCAAGACCTCCGGAATCTTCGACTACATGAGAAAAAAATAAATGGCTATATTGTGGAATTTTATGGACTTATGGCTCGAAACAACATTAGGAGATTGAAGGACAAAAAGATAATTGGTTATATTAATGGGAGCGCTAACCAACCACTAAGGATGAGGTCTTTCTACATTAGCCATGACTTTAAATGAAGCTTTTCAAATTGCTTTACGAGTAGAGATCAAATTACAATAGCGCACATAGAAATAATTTCTCACCCAAAAGGAGATCTCCTACAACTCAAAATTTAGTAAAGAAAATAAGAATTCCTCTAAGGTTGCTTGTTAACTATGTAATGAAACTAGACATTGTGCACATGAATGCCCAAAGAGGAGGATGCAAGTACACTTGGTTAAAGAAACATATGAAATTCATGACTAAGATCAACACCCAGCCATCCATATGCATGGTGACGAAGGAGATTGTCTTTATTTCAAAATTTCAAGTCTTCAAGGTCGAAGTCGAGCTTCTCCCAATCCTGAGAGAATGATAAAATTAGTTTTATTTTTAAAATCAACTTTTAAGATAAATAAATTGAGGTTTGGAATTATTTTAGATTTCTACTTTTCTTTTAGGGTATTTATATCATTTTTATCATAGAGAATTGAGGAATAGAATTGGAAGCTTAATTCTTTAAGCATTGAAGATATTGGATAAAAAGAATATAAGAGAAGAACAAGTGATATTGGTATTGTAAAAAGTATAGAGGATAAAAACCAAGTTTGAGGAAAATAAAGAGATAGAAAAAATAGTGCAGAAAATTAAAGAAGCGAGACACAAAGATCTATGTGGTTTGGCAAGTTGCCTATGTTCACGGGACAACAAAATTCTCTTTAACTAATTAGAAAAACACCGCACAAACATGGAGTTGTGTGGAAAAATAGTGAACCATTGAAAAAACACCTGTAAAAATAGTGAAACCGGTCCAAATCGGTGAATCGCCATTTTTATTGTAACAAAATGGTTTTTTACTACAGCAAAACGCTTTACATTTCCTAGACCGCATATGTAGATATGCGGTCTGGCCCGTATCAAACAATTTTCTTTTTTTAAATCGAGTAATGATCCCTTAGGACCCTCTTCTACCCATGTGTGTAGGACCATAGATGATCACTATTAAAGTTAGTACGGATCTCTAAAAAAAATTATTACATAAGTATAAGACTTTATTTTTCTAGAGATTTGTGCCAATGTTAATGGTGATCCGTCCTGTACACGTGAACGAGAGAGGGTCCTATAGGACCATTCCTCTTTTAAATCACCGTAAGAAAGTGAATAATGTTCGCATGTTCTTTTTCCTGAACTTTGAATATTATTTTGCTTTTGTTTACCATAAGGCTGGTGGA